GATGTCAAACACTGATCGATCTGTGCCGCACCTCTTCTAGTCGAACACACCGGCTAGTGCTGCAGGCTTATTGGCTCACTGACGCTGATGAGATTAACCCCTTAGGTATCGAAATTTGGTACCGAACAACGAGATGTTTTTCGATATTCGATGGTATCGAGGCATTTCGGTCGGTGCCTAAAAAGTATCAAACTCGATACCCAGCCCTAGATAGAAGTTGGTCTTGCGTGCCTAAAATAGCTGCCTGGAGGTGTCACAAATACGACTGCAGAGTGAACTGACTTTCTTAAAAGAAACTTTAACATACAGAAACTATACAGACAGACTACTGTAGACATGATTTCTAAAAAATAAATGCTAAATACAGTGGGCTAGTCCATAGTTTAATAACAAATTTAAATGGTTCAATATTTACAGATGGCACTGAAGGTTGGCGTTGTCCTGCGTGCCAGCATGTGGCTCTCAAAGCCCCTAATGCATACACCTGCTTCTGTGGTAAGATTATTTTGGTTTCTGCGTCTTACATGATATCTTTGTTTCTGTTCTAAATCACTCACAGTTTGTAAAATGATAACGTGGCTTTATGTTTATAATGAATAATGCTGTAAAACTGAAGAATTTGGTCCTCTAGATTTCTGATTTTTCACCTTTCATTTTAATGGACAGGGAAGGTGACCAATCCTGAGTTTCAACGCACTGAGATCCCTCATAGCTGTGGAGATATGTGTGGGAAAAAGAGGAGTGGAGGGGAATGCAATCACCCCTGTAACATGTAAGGGCCCAGCAGCACAATCAATGCATTTAAATGGTTTTGGCTCAGGTTGAGTGACAATGATTGAAAAATACTAGTTGTTGTTGAGAAGTCTCTTGTAAACTCCTCGTAAGAAACACATCTGGTAAACCTGAAACCATCTGCTTGTACTAGCTTTTTTGTGTTTTTCTTAAAGGGATAGTTCACCCGAAAATGTGATGCTTATCTGCTTACCCCCAGGGCATACAAGATGTAGGTGACATTGTTTCTTCAGTAGAACACAAACGAAGATTTTTAACACAAACCGTTGCAGTCTTTCAGTCATATCATGTAAGTGGATGGGAATCAAGGCTTTGAGAGTCAAAAAAATCATACACAAACAAAACCAAATTAAACCCTTATAAGTGCATTACCGCCACCTATCTGTCAAGTGGACCATTGACTCTCCTAATTGAGATTGTAGATAGAGTGTCAATGGGCCATTTGGTGGCGGTAATGCACTTATAAGTCTGCGATCCGCCGTAAAGGAAGAAGAAGACGCGTCACGCGCCGGCTGTCGAGGATGCGCTCAGGACCAGGGTGTCCGCGGGGTCTTAAGTATTAAAAGTTGATAAATCAATTTAGATCAAATTAAGGCCCTTAATAAGTATTAAAAATTCTTAAATGCCATTTTCCAAGGTATTAAATTTTGTATCATGTTTTCATTATGTATATTTGTCCGAATAGTGGGGTTCTGTGTAGCTGCGTGATAGCAGCTACTCGCTGAACTTCTTAACATTACCGCATGCTCCCATCCGCTCCTGCAAACATTCTAATATTGTATATTATTTTCACGCATCAGGGCGCCGCTATCAATATGTGAATAAGCGCTGGCAGTTTCACTTTCGATTTCGCGATCGCGCGCACACTGTGTAAAGGGAGCGCATATTACGATAAAAGATATTTGTCAGTGAGCTAGGGATCTGTTGAGGAGCAAATACTCCAAAATCTTTGTCAGTTATCTCTCCTTACTTTTGACCCGTGATTAGTCAAATCTGACTTCTGCAGCTCGTGTTGGATGCAGGGTTGTTGTTGTTTTTTTCCACGAAATTGGGCTGCTTTTAAACTGTTGCCATGGGTTGATTTTCCCCAGTGGGTTAAAGGTTTGAAATATTGCATAAATTACATTTGGTTGAAATGCTTGTACTGAAACATTTTGCATTCTACCTGTAATAAAACTGTGCCAAATGTTTTGGGCCACACTAGTAGGAAGCATTTGAGCTGTGTTTATGATAAATGTGCATAACAGTGACTGTAAAAATAAAAATGTTTTTTAGGGATGGAAATCACATTTTTATATTTGGGACATAATTGCGCTACTTTGGGCTGTTTTTTTACTGGCATGGGCTTGGGATTCACAATTATAATGATGTAGTTGTGATCATTATTTTACCTTCCATGATCATTCAGACACGATCGGGTGCAGTACTGACACACTGTCACGTCTGCATCAAATCAGGCACTCCGTAATCACAGGTAAACTGTTTGATCAGTCAGATGTTTGTCATCACAAAAGAGCTATGGTTTGCAGACAGTTATAAGAGTTGATATGACATGCATCTTTTGAATATACTGCGTGAACTCATTGCCCAGTTAGCTCGGAGAGCTTTATTTTCCCTCCTCAATAAGTTTTGTCAGTTGTTTTGTTTATTGTTCTAATTCTTGTTTCTTGGGTTGCATTGATTAGTCACTCAATTAATTCTCTTGTGCTTCGTTCCCCCCTTCTGAATTATGTTGCATTGATAAGGAGTTATCACAAAGTAAGTCTGTTTAGTTGTGCTATCTTACAATCAATATATAGTAAATGTAAGTTAAAGTGTCGCCGATGTAACCGGTTAAAAACGGACTTAAAAAAGTCTTAAAAAAAGGTCTTAAAAGGTATTAAATTTAACTCCATGATTCCTGTATATACCCTGAGGACATGCTCAGGACAGTTTGAACAGTTCTGACATTGTGTGAATCCGAGGTAAAAAACGATATAAATATTGTTCAGTTTCTTGCACAGGCCGATTGTTTTGTGTCTTTACACATCAATGTATCGCCACGAGCCGCAGGGTTTAATTTGGTTTTGTTTGTGTATGTTTTTTTGACTCTCAAAGCCGTGATTCCCATCCACTTACATTATATGACTGAAAGACTGCAACGGTTTGTGTTAAAAACTTTCGTTTGTGTTCTACTGAAGAAACAAAGTCACCTACTTCTTGGATGCCCTGGGAGTAAGCAGATAAACATCAAATTTTCATTTTTGGGTGAACTATACCTTTAAGAGTGATTACCCAACTAGTCATTCAGGCAACTGACTTGTTTGCACAGCTATAATTTTGTGTTTGTTTATGTGATATGTGCTATGTCATTGGTCAATCCAGTGTTAACATTCTTGCGTGATAAGAATTTCTCTTGCTCTGTGTAGCTTGTGCCATCCTGGGCCCTGCCCACAGTGTCCAGCTTTTATCACAAAGTCCTGCATTTGTGGGAGAATGAGGTACAATTGCCTTTTTGTAATTAACTGTATATGTAATCATTTACCCAGATATATGCAGGCCAAACAACACCAGTTTCTTGTGTGTGCAGAAAGCAGGTTCGTTGCAGTCAGACAGGACCTCTGCTTTGTGAGGACGTCTGTGGAGCTCTTCTGAACTGCTCAGAGCACTTCTGTGCCCAGGTGTGCCACTCAGGGCCATGCCAACCCTGCCGACTTCGTGTTCAGCAAGGTAAGTAGTCCTTGTGTCATTTAATTGGTTCAGAGTCAATGCAGTAATCTAATTTTATGCATTATAATTCTCCTGCCATGTCTTTGTACCCTTTCAGCCTGCTTCTGTGGTGTGGCATTCAGGGAGGCGGCGTGTGGGACTGATCGTGAAAAGTTTGATGGATCAGGATATTTCTCCTGTTGCATGCCCTGTGGAAAGTATGTACTAACAAAACATTTCTTCGCTTGTCAATGTATGACATTAATCATTTTACAAGTTCTGTATGCAGACCTTTTTGTTAATATCACTCTTCTCTGGTCTTAAATAATAAGACTTGTGTTTTAGACCTTTTTATTCATGTTTTCTTTTTTGGCCTGTTTTACCTTTTTGGTTTGATTTTGGTTAATACAGACATTTGTATGTGTATTTTGCATGCTTTTTTAGTAAATGTGTGTGAGCGCTCATCTCTCAATCTGTTGCTCTAGGATGCTAGACTGCCAGTCCCATCGCTGTCAGCAGTTATGCCACCCTGGGCAGTGCCAGTCATGTCCACTCAGCCCCAAGCTGGTGCGCAGTTGTTCATGTGGACAGACTCCATTATCTAAGCTTCTGGAGCTCGGCTACCCAGAGAGAAAGACCTGTACTGACCCAATCTCCTCCTGTGGCAAGACCTGCAACAAGCCGCTGCCATGTGGAGATGGTGGTATGTGTCTGATTTGGGATGATTTTTATTTATAAATTGAACGGGGATTAAAGTTTGTTGTTAATTTTTCTTCTGATCTTAGTTAAAAGGATGCGAAAGACCCTAAATTCACCATGAAATCAAATTTTTTTATGGAATATTGCAGTGTTTGATTATTAATGATTTATCTGAGCATGTCATTATTTTTTAAAATTCTCGTTCCCTTGTAATCATTAATCGAAAACATTAACTTCCCCTCCCCCCAGCAACAACATCCTTTCACTCAGAAATACACCACAATAGGAAAGAAAAGATTATCACAACTTAATTTCATGCTTACTGTAAGTATACAGAAACAATAAGAAAACCACTGGTCAGAGCCGTTCCTCCCTATACACAAAATACGCAAGCTGCGTAGGGCCCCCGAAACACCAGGGGGCCCCCTTGCTCTCAAAGATGATTTAATTTTAGTTTTGTTTTTGAATTTGGCCAGCGGTTATGAAACCGAAAGATCATTTCTTTTAATGCGGTGCGCTGTCGCCCTTTTTACGTAAAAATCAGTCAAATTATGTAATGTGAATGTTTTACAGTCTTGCTCGAGACTAAAAAAACGAGTTGAAAGCGTACCGAGCCGCGGAAGAGACACTGTTTCTCAAGCGCAATTCGAGACGTAGAGAAACACGGACAAATGCGTTTCATTCATTCGTTCATAACCACTCATTTTGCCACTGTATAATGTATTTGTAGTGTTCATAAGCAGGGCTGCTTTGTTTACAGCGGTAACCGAGGAAACACTATATCATTGCTGTTCCAAAAGCGCCGCCTGCTGGCAGAGAGTGAATTTGAATCTCATTCAGCTCGTCTGTTGTTTTTGTTTCATTTAGATTTGTTTTATTTAGTATAATTTCTCAACACTAAAGCGAGACCATATTGTTGCTTCAAATTTCGTAATTTTACAATCTAATTTAGATTAAAAACTGCTCATGTTGCATGTATGCAGCATCTTTGTTTGGATCGTGATTAAAATGTAGTGGTTGCCTCTAATTTTAAATGGAAAGAGCACAGACAAAGCCTTAGTTTGATTATATGAACAGATTTCTTTTATTTATGTTATTTATTTGATTTGGGGTTTGTTTTAAAATTTCAGTTTAGTTTTGTTATTTGACGTTTCAGTTACACAAAGAAATGTTCAGCATTTTGTCCAAGCAATAATAAAAGAAGACCTGTTCATTTATAATTTGTCTTAAATCTAATTTTGTTAAAAAAAACAAACTGTGAGAAGATCATTCCGTGAAATGAGTATCATGAATTGTATCGCATCGTGAGTTGAGTGAATTGTTACATCCCTACAACAATGTTCAAAATTCTTATATTTCTCTTTTACTTGTGTCTGATCTGCTGTAGATTCTGTCCACTTGTGTGAAAAGCTCTGCCATGAGGACAGCTGTGGCCCATGCTCTTTGACCTCCTCTATTAAGTGCAGATGTGGCAGTAACAGCAAGGTTAGACGGTTATCGCACAGCTGCACAAAGGTTAGGAAGTTCTGAAAACTGCAGATGTAATTCATACTCTCTCTTCTTTTTTCATAGGAAGTTCCTTGTGCAGCCATTCAGACTGAACGTAAGGCTTTAGTTAATTGTGTAACAAATTAATTGTATGTACTATACCAAAGTAGCAGTTGTAATGCTAGTGTGTAATCCTTTACAGAAGACATGGTGTTTACTTGTGAGAAACGCTGCAACAAGAAGCGCTCCTGCGGCAGGCACAAGTGTGGAGAGTTGTGTTGTGTGGTGAGTCTTTTAAATTTTCATGAAAGCTTTATCTGGGTGTAATAGCCACAAGAAAGGTTTATGTAAACATTCTCTCTCTTTATCAGGATGTGGAGCATAAGTGCTCAATGATTTGTGGTTACAAACTCAATTGCGGTCTACATCGATGTCAGGACCTTTGTCACCGTGGCAACTGCCAGCCTTGTTGGCAAACTAGTAAGCCTGGCCTTCAAGATCACCTTAATGGATGTCCATCTCTTTTCTTCTTACACAGCACTGTGTGTTTTCTCTAAGGTTTTGATGAGTTGGCGTGCTACTGTGGGGAGACTGTGCTCTTCCCGCCCATCCCTTGTGGAACGAGACCTCCTGAATGTAAAAACTTATGTACCCGAAGTCATGATTGTGATCATCCAGGTACTTCTGCTCAGTCTGACTCTGCTCTGTCAACCACAGATATACTCATTAACGGATATATGTCAAGATTTATGCACACATATACTGTATGATTCATTGTGAAGTTTACCCGTCTGTATGTAACTGCGCTTGACAATTTGTAATCTTGAGGTCGATATTTTGTACTTGTAAAAATTAAAAAAATAATAATTATATTTATATATATATATATATATATATACACATAAATATCTTTATTTTTTTTTAAAGTCTCTTATGCATACCAAGGCTGCATTTATTTATTCAGTACAGTAAAATCAGTAATATTGTGAAATATTTTGACAATATGAAATAACCATTGTTTATTTAAACACATTTTAAAATGTAATGTATTTCTTTGATGGTAAAGCTGAATTTACCCATCTTCAGTGTCACATGATCCTTCAGAAAATATTCTAATATGCTGATTTGATGTTCAAGCCACATTTCCTATTACTATGAATGCTGAAAACAGTTGCGTTGCTTAATATTTTTGTGGAAACCATGTTTTATATTTTTTCAGGATTCTTTCATGAATAGAAAGTTCAAAAGAATAGCATTTATTTGAAATAGGAATCTTTTGTAACAATTTAAAAGTCTTTACTTGTCACTTAATGCACCCTTGCTGAATAATGTTTGCTGATTGTTGTGTTTATGATTTTTCCATAGTGTTCCATTCATGCCATTGTGAGGAGAGATGTCCTCCCTGTACCTACCTCACCAAGAAGTGGTGCATGGGTAATCATGAGGTAAAAAGACATTTTTAAAACAAGACAGTCTTCATGTTTTTTTTAATTCAATTTTAAGCATAGACAATCCTATTTTGCACTCTATTCAAGAAAAGTTCCAAATCTCATCTTCAACACCATTTTCACATTTCTCCCTAGCAAAGGAGTAATATCCCATGCCACCTGCAGGACATCTCATGTGGTTTAGTGTGTGACAAGCTCTTACCCTGTGGTTCTCATCACTGTAAGAAAATATGTCACCGTGGGGAATGCCAGGCAGAGGGAGAGTGTAAGCAGCCTTGCACTCACCCTAGAGCCAGCTGTGGACACCCCTGTGCTGCTCCCTGCCACCCAGGCACCCCCTGTCCACCCACCATCTGCAGTGCCAAGGTACAGCCCTTCCCTCATCCAAAATCTACACAGATGGTTTATAGATGGAACATGCAGTTATTGCTCAAAGCGGTCCTTTGTTTCCTCAGCTGTAGCCTGATTTGATTCCATCAATTCCTCAGCTGCAGGGTGCTTGTGGTCTGGCACATGCTTTTACAGACAAATGTACATTATCGGTTGTGTAAAACATTGGCTTGAAAGAGTAAATTATGGTTTTCATAAACATCTGTTATAGTTGTTTATTATAGCTTGTCACAAATAATCTTCAGATGATTTGTTGTTTTCAAATGTACTGTAGAAGATGGATCAAAAGAGCAGAATATCTGATTATCTAAGCACAAAAATTCCTATTTTTCATAACTTTCATGTTATGCATGCTGGAAAAAAAATCAGTGTTCAAAATGGAGAGCCTTACTTTATTCTCTTAGTTATTTCCCATGTTCAATCTCTAGGTGGCACTGCAGTGTGACTGTGGCCGAAAGAAAGAGACCGTTCCTTGTGCTGATGCAGCCAGTTCCTACCAAAGGTTAAAACACGGCACACTATCAGAGCCTTCATAGACATTCAAAGCAAAGTTTTATATTGATAAATTGGCTGACACAAGCCTTTTCGTTTCTTTTTTTGTTCTTTTTTTCCCCACTGATGATTGTGTACTCATAGCAAGCCAATACATTTAAAATGAATGATATACATATGCAAATAAGACCAAAAATGCTATAAATGTCATATGTTCTAACTGATCAGTGGTCAAATCTCTATATTTTGCAGATATGCAGCTATTGCCGTTGCCAGTAAGCTGTCAGATATGCAGCTGGGAGAGTCTGTTGACATTGGACAGCTCACAAAGAAAGAGCAGAGAAAGGCCAGGTATACTCGCACACTAAAGCTTGCAAGACTGCTTGTTTTTATTAGTCATCCAGAAGAGTAGTCTGTGGGTCAGTGTTTACCTTACGTAAATGACAGCATTAGTGGTTTTTGCTGTTTCTGACAAGTTCAAAGCTGCATTGAAGGAGAGCAGGGTACAGAATTAACACTCACTAACCACAACATCCAAGTAAAAATGTATTTTGTGATGAAATTGCCAGTGGCTGGTAAGTAACTTCATTAGAAGAAAACATCCATCTAATAACTTTTACCTCGGAAGGTAAACATTGTTAGTAATGTGCTTTTGTTGAAGTGGAGTAACCTTTGTATTTGGTTGTTCTCTCACAGGTTGGAGTGTGATCAAGAATGTGCTACACTGGAGAGGAACAGGTGAACGTAAAGATTTTATTCACACATTCTTTCCCTCTATCTGTGACTGTATATGTTACTAGATATGTCTGTGTGTGGGTGTGCAGGTTTTGATGTTTTCTGTTTTGCCTCTAGGCGGCTGGCTGAGGCCCTGCAGATTGATCAGTCAGTGGATACCTTCAAGTCAGCATCTTCCAAATATAGTGACTCTCTGAAAGAAGATGCAAGGTGGTTCAAATTCTAAAATAGTTCAAGAATGTATCAACAGTACATAAAGCTAGGACATGGTTGTATGAGACATTACCAAGCTCAAATTCTTTGGAAGCGCTCACGATGAAGGCACCAACCATTAAGCAACCTATTAAGAGTAGTGAATCAAACTGCAAGACTAAGTAAAATTAAGTAAGATTAAGTAAAAATACTTCTGTTGCTTTCTTGAAAACAGTCTTGCAGTTTGATTCACTACGCTTAATAGGTTCAGTTGCTTGCCAAATGTATAAACTGTACAGGACTGTATTTTCAAAAGCATCCAAACTCCAAACACAAAAATGGGGATTGTAGCCTACTTATAAAAGCAACAAATGCTTATCCTTTATTTTGTAGTCTCATGACTGAACATCACTAGTAACTGTGCACTAAAGAATTGCCAGTCGAGTTTGGGTTCTTGCACATTTGCTTTGACAGTTTAAAGAAAAACTGAAGTGTAGAATATACACACGTACGTTAAATGTTTAGTCTACTACAGAGCCAAGTGAAAGCATGAATGTTCAAACTAATGAAACTTTTTTTTTTTTTTTTTAATTCAGGAAAGATTTCAAGTTTGTCAGTGAAATTGAAGAGGAGATTAAGAATTTAGTTGAACTGACTAACAAGGTAAAATGTAGTCCAATGATCACACTATATATAAATAGTTGACAATATTTACCATCCAAGCACTTCTAGCATCATTTTTCAGAGCTCTGTTATTGTGTTATTCCTCAGGGTAAACAGCCTAAGAGGAGTCACTGTTTTCCACCTATGAAGCGTGAACACCGGAGAATTATCCATGAGCTAGCGGAGGCATATGGTGTGGAAAGCGTCAGCTATGATAGCGAACCCAAGCGCAATGCTGTGGTTACTGCCATCAGGTCAGCAGAAACTGTCAAATTTTAGATTGGGCTTTCAACTGTAATAGTGAATAAGCAAACACAAGTAAACTTTAAAGGTGTCTCAGTTAAGAGTGTGTCAGTAGAGTTGGGTAGTCTTCAACATGATTGTTTTACATGTGTTTTCAGGGGGAAATCGGTGTGTCCTAACACTAGTCTGGCTGCTTTGATTGAAAGGGAAACTGTTTCCAGAGCACCTCCTCCTATTGCCCACATCAAACAACACACAACCAAGTATGTTCACACATCTCACCACTAGACTACCATTCAAACGTTGGGCATTAAGATGTTTAAATGTTTTTGAAAGAAGTGTTTTATTTATTCCTGTGCTGGCAAAGCTGAATTTTTTAACAGCCATTACTCTATTTCTTCAGTCTCTGATTCTTTAGAAATAATTTTAATCAGGATTTTCTTTCTCAAAATAATGTATTTGAAATAGAAATCTACTACAGATGTCTTTACTGTCCATCCTTGTTCAATTGAAGTATTAATTAATTTTTAAAAAATGGAATGCTAATGTAATATGATCACTCTGTCATAAATGATCAGTATGGTTATTCATATGAGCTAATGTATGGATACTGTAATGAAGTGGAGTGTTTAAAACCACGCTCTTGTCATTCACAGTAAACAGAATTGCTGTGGCATGCACATGTGTTTGTTAATATTTTGTGTATTCGTGAAATATGAAGGGTTTTGTTGAGTGTAAAGTGTATCATAACTAATACATTTTTTATTCACATTTATTTCAGGGCCGACAATAGTAATGCTTGGATGAAACAATCTAAAGAGGAGCCTACAATTGATTATTTTGATGTGCAGGATTGACATGAAATTCTGAATAGTCACTGTAATAATCACACAAAATAAAACTATCCAAAGTCCAAAGACTTCTTTTCACTAAAGCATCACAGTTCTGAACACAAATACAGTGAGAATCTAAAGCTATGATTTGTGGACATGTTTGTTTGTTAGGTTTACTAAGGAGCAAACTTCTAGGAGTAAAAATTGATGTGGTTTCTGTGCACATATTAACTTGGGGGAGGGGGGATGTGGGATGCATTTGTATTCTGAGACTAGACTTTGACATTATCAGTGACCTTGACAGTGATTTCTTCTGATAGACAGCTTACACAAGTGTCAGGAGTGAGTCAGTGAAGTTGGACATGATTGGCATCAGGAAGGTTGTTGGTAGTAATCTCATTTTACCATACCTTGTTAAAGATGAAAATAACTGTGCATCTCAGCTCCAATAAATGCTTCTGAAAGCACAACTTTCTGCAGTTCGTGTGGCTTAAGTGCAATATTGAATAGATTGCGGTTCTCCACATTCTGCTTCAGTATTATGTAGCCTACTTTTGCTTTCTTCTGATCCCAACAGGAAAGATATTGTGATGCTCCGTCATAATTTGTTTCTTCTATGAGAAGAGTGACCTTGACGTCAATGCTCATTTGTATCAAGACAGTATATTATACATCTATGTGTATAGATACTAGATCTAGTATATATCAACAATTTCTTCTGAGGTTTGTAATGACATGAGTTAAGTGCTGGAATACTATCATTGTTCAGTGAATGTGTGATGGGACAAATCTAGAAACTGAAGGGTCTCTGCTTCTGGGCCCTTGGATTGCATAGAGCCTGACGGGACATGGGAAAAACGCAAGGGAAATACAAATTTGCATCCTTAAAAATCAGTAACATCAGTGAGGCTACTTCAAAGGATTGTTTACTGCATGAATTTAATATAAATAACGATAAATTTAACTTTAAAGATAAATGACAGAACTTTAATCTTTGAATGAACTATCTCTTTATAATCCCTTTTTAATAGCTGTTGTCAGCCAGCATCACACGTTTATTGACGTCGGTTATTATGAGAGGAAACCTTGACTTGTGTGACAACACGGCAGTAAAGTTAGTTTGACGTTTGACATTCATTAGACATTCGGGTTTTTTGCCAATTAAACTCTTTGCAGCTTTTATGTTTTGAGCCCAAACTACCTCAGATAGACATAAATATATGCCCTTTATGTTGCACAAAGCTTAATTTCTAGGAATTAAAAAAAAATAAAAATACCATTTAAATTAATTAAACAATTTAACTACGTGACATTATAATATAAAACCAATACTAAAATGTTCGGGAAAACATACCTGTTATTGCACAAAGCTCCGTTTTTGGAATTACAATTTTATGTTTTTTATAATAATTTTACAACTTTTAATGTATGCAATCATATAAATCCATTAAACGACAACACCATTTGATCTAAAGGTATCAAACAAACTGTAAAATATTCAGAATATTATTCAATTTAATGCACAACGCTTGTTTTTTCAGATTATGCCTTTA